GGCTAGAGAACAGCTAATGAAGTGGCTTATACCCAACAATGATGTAAGAATCTTGAATATTTTGAATATGCTCACCTAATTATTAGAACAGGTTTTTCACATCAATTTGTGCCTTTGAATCAGTATATTATTTGGAAAATTTAACTAAATTTAATAACACTTAGCTATAATAAATTGGCGATGTTAAAAAACTCAAGTGGCTAAATAAGTTTCACAGAGTTGTCAAAGATATTGCACAAATGATCTATTAGCATTATAGGTTTAGTGCATTTTTTACTTTCAATTCAAATTTTTATATATGTAATGAATTCAAATTAAAAAGATGTATTTCAATGTCAACATTTATATATTGAGAGTAAAATCATTTGTGTTGGTTATTTTGGTGGAAAAATTTACAAATAAAATAAAAATTATTAGCCATTCTTATAATTACTAGTTTATTCAATGCATATAAATCAATAAGTTGATTATGGTCAAGGTAATTAAATGTTGAGCTTATTGATTTCTAGCCCTTTTATAAAATACACATATATACACATATAAAATATTGATAAAATATTGCTTACATGAATGCATTATCTATTGCAGGTTAAATTGATTGGCTTGAGTTTGCAAATAATAGGCTTTCTCTTGCATGAAATTGTAACTGTAATAGTTGATATGGCTCTGCTTATCAGACAAGAACAGGGCTTGCAAGATTGCAGTCAAATTCGGCCAATATCTGAGCGGGAGATCACTGAAGCTGTACGACGATATTCAGTTTTACATTGTGGAATAGCCTGTCAACATTCAGATTTTAATAATATATCACGAACAACTGTATTTCTTTAATAATGTGGTAAATTGTATATATTTATATAAACATTTGTTTCAAATAATATATAATTGAAATTATGTATTTAAAACTTGAACACTTGTTTATTATTGAGTTTTCCTCTTATTTATTGTAAAAAATTATTGAGTTTTCCTCTTATTTTATTGTAAAAATTTAGTTAGAATTAGATTAGACCGTGGTAATTTTGCAGTCCATTAAACAAAAATGGGTGTCAGTCAATGCAGGCCTGAACATGGAATAATGGCACATACTTGTATTATACTGATATGCAAAAGATTTGGAAACAGAGAGAGAAAATGTTAAAACAAATTTTATGACAAAATTCTAATGAAACCGATTGATTGGAATTACATAATTGAAGTAGAATATAAACAGCAATATGTCAATAATATGGTGAGAATAATGTAATAGGATATGGCTAAATATTCTTTCACAAACTATCATATCACATATGTATTTATGTTTTAGCTGATTTTTTGAAAAAACCCAAAATTTACACAATTTTCAAGAATACCAAAAAAGTTTGAACATTTAAAAAAAATTTAATTTTTTTTTTTGTAAATATCCACATAAGTTGTTTGTAGAATACGCTCGTCGCTCAATTTGATAAGCACTTAAGCAATGTAAGCATGCTTACAGTATTATGATTATATTTAACTTGTTCGTTTGTGTTTGTATATTTGTTAATGAAGATTTCATCAGGACTTGCTCTCAAATGCATAGTCCTTTGACAATATGAATAGAACAGCTTCAAACTCATATGGAGGACATAATTACTACATTACTACGTAGTGCATTGACATATTAGTCTAATCATAATACACTTTAAGGAAAGAGGTCAGTTCTAGGAAATTGTGTAAGAAATCAAGTATGCGCTTCTACAAGAAAGACATAATACACAAATAAAAAGCTGTTCCAGCTGTTTAAAATTGGATTACCACTTCACACGGATCTGAATATACTTGGGAGAAAATGAATTGCTTAAGAATGTCAAATTTTGCACGGGATGATTATTAGTTAATGAGAGTTAAGAATGACAGGCGATGTAATGAACTAACACTATATGCATTATTCACTAAATTTCAATAAATATTTATATTAATAAGTAGCAAAAAGAGTAGAAGTTATTTCAGTAGATGTGATATCTATTATATATAAACCGGTGTATTGCAGTGTATTTGTTGATTTATATTTCGATTTGATTGTATATTTATTATATATAATATTATCTAGTATATTTTTGTTATTATTGTATTATTACAAAACATAATAGGATTGTAATACCAAATTTAGTTTCAAATACCAGTGCACTAAAAATCATTAATTTTATTTCAAATTTTGCGCCATTAATTTGAATGCCAAAAGCAGCGCCATCACGTCGAGGGAGGACCCTTTAAGTATTCCTTCTGAACGTAAAAATCAGGCGAGAAAAGCGGTTATAACTGTATATGAACACGGGGTATTCTAATGTCTCGGAGCCAAGCTGTTTCTTTGTAAATCGCAGAGAAGTGAAACATTTTTCGTCCACGTTTTAGCCCGCAATTGTATCGATTCTAAAAATTCAAAAACCGTTCGAAAGTTATATTGGTTTGGAATCGACCAGATAAGTTTTGGTAAAGATCGGCCGAACCGTTTTCTTGCAATAAAGTGTTAAACACAAACAATTTACTTATTTATGGTGTTAAAAAAAATTGCTCTAAAATAGCGGATAATAAAAACTTCTTTAGCAGTTTTTTATGAGATGGTAACGCGTTTTTAAACACCTTATATAAAATTGTTTGGTATACTCTTCTCTCATTTATCTATGGTGTAGGTTATCATTTGCCGGCATTTAAGGAATTATAAGTAGATATTAAAAAAAATCTTATAAAGTAAATAAACAAATCTTTGTTATAGCATAACGAAAAACGTGGTTCGCATTTATTTATATATAATCAAACATCGAATTTCGAAGAAG